TTAGTTTCCTTAAAAGCTTTTGGTCAGGAACTTTGTCAAACGCCTTTTGGAAACTGTAGACTATGTCAACTGGATCGTGTTTACACACATGCTTGTCGACCTTCTCCTTTGAAGAACTCCAGAGATTTCTGAGAAGTGGGATTTCCTTTACAAAAGCAACCTTGAATCCTCCCATGTATATCATATTTATACATCCATTCCAACATGCCGCTGCTATTGCAGTGTCTGGTAATCGGCTTGGCTGGCATGTCAGGCTGGCAGGCCCGGTTGTCCAGCTCTCCCTGGGACCTGTTTCAAAAATTGTCATTGTATCTGCCACCAATCAATCAGGCACAAAGCAAAACGTTACCCACTTCCATCACTAATCTGCCTATTTCACTTTCCAGTTCCTCTAAAGCCTTTGGGTAATCGTTATCCAGTTCTGGTAACGGATTAGTATTCACAGGTTAGCAGTAACCCTAACATTCTCTTCAGGTTCAGAGAGATTCTCTGACAATTCCCTCCACAAAGCAAGATTTCAGTGTGGGAATGTCCCTGGTTTCTTCCACTATGAACGCTCAACGCCAAAAGAATATTTTTAGGTTCTTAGCAATAGCCTTATCTTGGCTGAGTGTTTCTTTCGTGTCTTGATCATCTGTTGGCCTTACTGGCTTCTTGCTCTGATGTGAAGAAAGATTTACTGTTGGTTTTGGTTCCTTTGCAAAGTGCCCCTTAAATTCTTTCAGCCTCAGTTCTGCACTTCCACATTTAATCTGCCAGAGTTTACGATCCCTTCTGTTTTCTTTGTTTGCAAACAGACATCAGGTTTTCAGACGACACCTTCCTATTTCTCCTAACCTCTCTGACTCTGCTGCATAGACTCACGACCTTCCTTTTGCGCTCTGCAGTTCTGCCGTGCTGTCTTTCTGCCCAAGGACGGGGCAGACGAGACCCTGCTCTTACACTCCAGGATTCACTGCACAGGTAACCTCATGCCGGCCATGCAGGAGCACAAGAGAACTGCCTGAAAGGTGCGAAGACAAACCTTTCGGACTTAAGGTGGACCTAAATGAGCAGAAAAAATACATGTTGTGATGTTGCTGATAATCTACACAAATTAGGTAGGATTCAAATTTTTGGGATGATAGAGGGCTCATAATTCTTTACAGAAAAGAAAATTACTTTACAAGAACTGGCCTCACAAAATGTGTAAAATATAAAAGGTGGCAAAAGATGCAAAGAAAAGACACTTAAGATTAGAGTTCTGTCTAACTGCTTACCAGACACATGCCATTCACGTTCTTTAAAGTAATGGTACCGCGTACACATTAGCTATAAGCAGAAGTACAGCTAGAAGAGGAAGACCAAATGTAAATTTCTAACATTCAAATAACAACAGAAATAGTAAACTCCCAAATGTGCTGGCCATCATTTGCATATCCCAGATATCATTGTCTGTGGTGAATGTGTAAGAAACTCTCAGTCTTCCTTCCCAAACTCCTCATAGCAGGAGCAGGATGGACACTCGAGCAGTTCAAACCACAGCCCCTCTCTGGAAAGGACACGAAGGGAAAGCACGTGAAGGGACATCTCTCACATCTGACTGTCAAGCCACAGGGCCAGCCCTCCCACTGAAACTCAATTATTCCATGATTCTGTGATATGGGGATTGAACGTAATGACAGAGGGTACGAAACTTAAGCTTCACCAGGTAGAAGAGTTATTCAGACAAACTTCTATACTCAGTGAAAGGGAGGAGAAGGCCTTCTCAGGATCTCTCTCATTCTTTGACCACATAGAAGAAATAAAGGTCAGAAGGAGATATTTAGAAAGAGATTCAAATACTTCTGAATTTCAAAAAAACCCCAAAGTTTCAGGGAATCAAACAGCTGTATTTGGAAGACAAACATTTAAAACATATCTTTAGATAGAAAATGAAGTAGGAATGTATGCTGATGTTACCACAGCTTGCCTTTTATCCTCACCTTTTTGGGTTTAATTTGAGAAAAAAAAAATAGCATAAAAGGTTAATTGCTATGTACAGGACTGAATTTCTAGGACATAATACCATACAAGGTTAAAAAATTATAAAAACATGTTTAATCACACTTTATTTTTCATCTGTGTTTTATTTTAGTAGATCATATCAAACTCAAAGGCCTACAAAAAACTTTGATCTTTCTTTTCAGTCCTTCAGCATAACCACGACTGCTACCAAAAAGCCACAAGGAAACTAAAGAAAGGGTACAGTAAGTCTTTTACCTGTATTTATGAAATATGAAGACAAGTCTTCATGTTACAGTCACACCTTAACCTCCTACTAAACCGAATTAAGGGTTGTGCTGCAAAGTCATTACCTTCACCTGATTTATGCTTTTAAAATTCATTTCAGCACTGTCTCTATACGAGAAGCACACGTTTAAAGACTACCTGGGAAGGACTTTGTACACGCACACACAAAAGTACCTGAATACAAGACCCTTCCAAGTGTAGTGTTCTAGCGTCACTTTACCCCACAAAGTGATTGCAATCACTTCTGCCTGATTGTAATCCCACAGATCTTTAAATATACTTACTAATCTTGAAAATTTTGCTTGTTTTGCCAATCTCTTTTATTTCTTCTACCAAAATTCCAACTGCTATAGAACTGAACGCTCTCTTAAGAATGTTAAAGAACGCTTTTGTATTCTCGCCAAAATACTGCACTGAAACTTGACATGAAATTATTCACCCAGGAAGCAAAAATGTAAAAACCAGTGGTGTCTAGCTTTGAGGTACACCATACTTGAAAAATAAAACAAAAGTTGCTGGTTTGTGAATTCCCTGAGCTGTTACAAAAATCCTCTTGTTAATATACATACGTAATGTGAATTTTGAAATACTGAAAGAAGCTTTTAATTAGGCTCCATGATGCTCGTAATAATTTTAAATGCTCCTGTTCCAAATCTTTACATTTCCTCCAGAGCATGCAGCAGTGGTGCATGACATCATATTCCTCGCACCCAGGATTCCTGGCAATTAGTACAGAACTGACCTAAGTTACTGTGTGGTACCATAAAATCATAGAACAGCTTGGGTTGGAAGGGACCATCTTGTTCCAATCCCCCTGCCATGGGCAGGGACACCTTCCACCAGACCAGGTTGCTCCCAGCCCTGTCCAGCCTGGCCTTGAGCACTGCCAGGGAGGGGGCAGCCACAGCTTCTCTGGGCAGCCTGTGTCAGTGCCTCACCAACCTCACAGGGAAGAATTTCTTACTTATGTCTAACCTAAATCTGCCCTCTTTCAGTTTGAAACTGTTACCCCTTGTCCTGTCACTACCAGCCCTGGTATAAAGCCTCTCTCCATCTTTCTTCCATCTACTAACGAGCAGTAATAACAGCTTTGGGCAGACTGTCAAGAGCAAAACAGTTTCTATTTGTTTCAAAATGCATTCAGAAGAATTGAAGAAATACTTTTAAGACCATGCACTGAAGAGGGTGTTTCCATAATGGTACCATTTAAATGATAAAAATTGTGAGGAAAAAAGTCTCAGCCAAATCAAGTCCCATGACCTCACCTCCCACTCAGTCTTCAGTGCAGAGAACACACTGTATCTGGATGGCCTTGTATCCTTACAGTACTTGAATATTTTTAATATTTCCATACCTGGTTTGGTGCCAAAGTTACTCATTCAGTTATCCAAGGCAACTCTGAATGCTCCGTAAAATCTAACAGCAGAATGTGCATGTCTTACGGGGCCTCCTTTCCCCTGTGAAATAAATGGAAGCCCTTCTCCTATTGTGCTGCTCAACCTGAAACAAGCAGCCAAGCATCTGCTGGGAAATACACTGAACATCCAGTCTTGCAGCGAGGCAGAAGGAGCGCTTCCACGTTCCCACTTGACAGAACCATTTGCACTATGAATACAGACGCAGGCTTGCCAACACCTCTGAAACATGCTTTTGTTAGGTACGGTATGGAGATCGTCATCTGCACTAAGTACTTGTTTATCTCCAGTGTTTGTGACACGGAGGCAGCGCAACACAATACAAACAAGGAGTCAAGAGTGACTGGCTACAGGACCAATGTCCACCCAAGCTGCGTGAGCTGCTCTAAGCAGAAAAAGTTGGGTTTTGAATGACAGTAATGAAGATTGAAAATATCAGTGTGGTTCTTGCGGGATTAAGACAAAACACCAGTAGGTTCCAGATATCAAATATTTCTAGGACAGTTTTTCTCTTATTAGTAGAGCACACAATTTTGCAATTGTTCCACTGCTTTACAAATTCTCTTACACTATGTATGTGATGGGCCTGTCCATAGGGATATGGCAGTAGAGAGACAATTAATTTCATCATTATCTTTCTTCTTGCATGTTCATAAATAATAGAGGACTCTGCCGAAAAGCAAGCAGAAACCGAGCTAAGGCACACGACTATGGTTCTAGACCTGCTTCCTTATAAGCTAATGCCATCTAAAATTTTTCTTCACCTATATCTGCACAAGAAATAAACTGTACAGTTTCCATTGTGTTCGTAAAGTACATTTGCAACACAAAATACTTCGCAGTTATAAATACTTCCCAAACCCATTTAGACACCAGTTTAAACTTCTAATAATATTTTCCTTGATGAATATGTGATCATAGTGAAATGACCACAGATCTGGAACTCTTGGAGTGTCAGAGTTATTCTTTACTTCTTGCTGGCATGCTTGCAGCACAACGTGTCTCCTAATTTCAACCTCCCTACACCTTTGGTTCAACAGAAGTGAGGACATTTTTCTCCACCCTAACTAAACCAGACAAAACCAAACTAAAGACTGAGTCCTTACACTGCTCCAGTGTGTTTTCTTTGAACCTTTCTTCACCAAAACTGTGATATGCTAGGTAATGACTAACTACAATACTTTCATATGCTTACAGAAATACGCACTATGTAAAATTACAGAAAATACGAAAAGACTGCAGTCAGTGTAAATTCAGTTTTTGACAGATATAAGAACAATAACGCTTCAGCTCTTTGCCATGGGCTATACTCACATCAGCATAATGCCCCTTCATATCGCAGCGACTGCAGTGTTTATTCCAATAGGCTCTCTCAAGACATTCCCTGAAGTAGTGGCCAGGCAAACAGCAGTTCAAACAAAAACGTGCTGGGCAACTGTTTTGTAGATGACCTCTTTCTGCGCACAAGCAACAAGGGGGAACTTTCTAGGGAGAAACAAAAAAAGAATTATGTTAAGTGAGAACGTTTCAAAAGATTAAAGGAATAAAAAAAGATAATCAAAAGACGAAGAAGAAACTACCCCAAATAGATGTCTACTGCTCACTAGGAATTGCAGAGATGTTATATTTCATCAAGGAATCGAAGTGAAGGAAGACTGTGACTAGAGTAAAACTCGAAGCTGCAACTCCATAGGCTCCCTATGCTTTTTTGGTCTGGACCTTGCATCACAAGCACTTGTTAAATGCCCAGTGCCCGTATTATTTGCTCAGTGAATACAGCAAAAATAATCATTACACCAGAAAGTGTATTTCACTCAGAGCAGAAGTGTTGGGCACCCTGTATGAACACTTGTTTGAACGTGACAGTTTGTAACGCGACACACGGGACTGGCTGGTGAGGACGGTCTGCACCGCAGGGCTGCACTGCGAGCAGGCTGGGGTGGGCGAGAGCGCGGTGGGGACACAGCTGGGCAGCTGACCTGAGGGACCACAGGGACAGCCGTACCGACGGCGCCATGCTCAGCTGGGAAGGAGGCAGTCGCTCCCAGTCTCAGCATGGGCAACAGCCTCTGGGAAGGAGGTTTTTACAGACTCTGTGGTGGGTACTGGTAAATCCAGACTCTCATGCAACTGCCCCCACCTCTTCACAGCATAGTGACCTATTTTTAAGCCTCTAACCCCTAGGCAAACTTTCTGAATATTTGGCATCTATCTGAGATGCTTAAAGTTACTTCCAATATTATCTTGTCTATAATTTTTAACATTGATTACATCGCGGTTCATTGTGTAAGTTCCTGGTTTCATTCGTTTACTAAGGCTGATTTTTGGATTCCTTAGGTTCTCCTTGTTGAAAATACATTTGAAAAACATTTTACATCTTAAAACTGGTTTTACAATATGAAAAAAATGTTTCTATATTGTATTCGACTCTCTTTTTGCTCAGTTTATACTTACAGATTTTTTCCTTCATGAAAACAATAAAAGCAATGACCTCTGCAACACAGACAGCCGCTTTTACATAGTAAACTGATCTTGTGCAAGCTACCCTTCAACTTGGAGTAACCTTTCAACAAAACAATAAACCACTGAAGCAATGCTTCTAATGGCAAGCACAAGAGTATTAGAAAAAACAGCTATACCTGTAAGTAATTTAAGTGTTGCATTTACCTTTGGAGTTGGACAGTTCTTGGACAAATGACCTGGTCTACCACAATTTCTACAGGTAACGTTTTTATCAGCCGTGTAGTACCGCATACTGGTGTGCCTCACGCTTGCGTAGTTGGAGATCTGTGCCTGGTGAGACATGAAGATAGAATCACATTCAGATAATTTGAGATTCTGTGGTTTAGCATTTGTTAGAACTGGAAATTTGCAAAGGTCACTGCTGGTAGTGTTCAGTTAGAAACCTAACTTTTTACAAGCACAATTTACACATACAGGTTTGAATTGGGTAATTCTGTTATGGAGAAACCTGCATTGTGTAGAAGAAAAGCACTGTCTCGTTCGAACTTCCACTTTGGGACATTCTTTTTTGCTGCTTAAAACTGCAGTTACGAGGATTGTTTTCCCTTTATTAGTCAAGTTACTTCTACTCACTATGCCATCTCACAGTGAATATGAATTTTTCCCAGAATACAAACATAATTGCAAATGCAAGTTACATGTTCCCTTGCACACATTAAGGGAAACTTCTTGCACAAAGTACAATGCTATACAAGTCTAAACCAAATCTGCAATTTGCAATTGTAAAGAAAGATTTAAAAAGGAAAAAGAAGAAAAAAAAGAGAAGCTGCAAACAACTCTCTCTCTCCCTGTGACCTCACACATACTTTCTGTGTAGGCAGGCAGAACTGAAAATCCTATCTTCAACCTTTGTGGCTTAGTAAACATCACAATTTTTAAAAACTGAAATAAAATTCTGGATGAGTGAACGGAAGAAGTACAAAAATAGCACTTCTCTTAATGGAAAGAATTTGTTAATGTCACCTGATTATGTAAGCTTTACTGCACCTTGGAAAGAGAAATCGAAGGAGCTGGGACTTTACAGCCGAAGCTTACTCCTCCTGCGTGCTATGGCACCTTGCACGAGTACTCCAGGTTAGAGTCCAACCATACCAGCTCCCGACTGAGTCCGACCCTGGGAGTGCAGGAAGGCTAACCAGACACGGACAGTGCGTGTGCCACCTGTGGGAACGGGATTTAGTTGCCACAAAACAATTTCCAGTCTCTGAAGAGACGGGGAAGGAAGAGCTGAGTTCCTCCTTGCAGAGTCTGCAGAGACGCTCCGGTTCCCGGCATCCTCGTCTGCTCTGCTTGTGTGCCTGCCCTAACAAGTGAACCTCTTCTGGCTGTACAAGGGCTCAGCCTTCGCCTGCCTTTGCGAGGATACTGCTGAGGACTCCACACAAAAGCTACAGATGGATTTTTCAATCCTATTTATCTTGCTCTGCTTGCTAACAAACATAAAAATAAAGCAATTACGGAACAATTTGGTAGTCTGTGTTACCTCTAAGTCTTTATTACAGATGGACCAGTCCACATCACCTTCTCCTGAAAAACAGGAATAAAATTAATTATATTTAATTTATATTAATATTTTTCTCTAATATATTCAACATCATGATTACTGCACTTATTGGAACTGATAACATACTTTGAATGTACCACAGTGGAGAAACTAGTTCTCTCTTCAGCAAAGGAAAGCTATCATCCTGCTTGGCACCAAACCTGATTCACCTTAAAACCAGCACATGTCCAGCTATCGGGTAGAATTGACACCACCCTCTTGTCCTGCCCCCCAGGGTATACATTCAGGCAAGGACTTCATTTCTTCAGAGGCAGGGACTCCAAAGGTTCCAATTCCAGACATTTGGACTACCTCTGCCTGCACTCATGTGCATGCCCAGCTCAAGTCCAGAGGCTGCCAGAGTGGGAGCGCATGAACAAGAAATCAACGTACACCATAAAATATACTCTTCCTCCTCACGAATTCGCATAATCTAGGTCTTCAGCGTTGCTTTCTGACAGCGAGCATGCCAAAATGACTTTGTGCATAACCACAGCAACTAAGACTGTGAGCTAAGTAACTCTATTTCAAAGCAGGGTTTGCTAATGTGCAATAAATCAGGACGACACACTAAATTATCAGCTGCCACACCATAACCTTCTCACGCACATCCTTTGGGCTGGCAGAAGTAAAAAGAAAAAATCAAAAAGGAAATAAAAGGCACTAAGCTAAAAGAACAGGGATGCAGTTACAGCTGTTTAAAAATTCTGCATGTCAACACTGCTTACTTCTCTCCCTGTGCCGACAGCTGTACCACCACAGCATCTTTTTCATCATTAAGGGAGGATTCATGTCAGCGGAGGAGCTCACCTTACCTACACCCTTACAGTAACCGTTACAACTTCTGCGCAAATTAATCCCGTGTGTTTGCAGACCTTTTAAAGCAAATTGTCCCAGCCTGTTCCCACAATCTAAGCCTGAAGCATCTACATGTATTATTAACACAAATCACAACATCAAAATTTAAAAACAGTAAAAAACCCAGTAAAAATTTACTCAACTGATTTTGATTTTACTGTTCATTTCCAATAAAGGCAGATGACTAGCAATTAGGATTATACCATCTACAAGGTCATGTCTAACCGTTCCTTTACTGAAAAAGTCAGTAATTTCAGCTGAAGTGTGTAATGCAGTATCTGGATACAAGGAACGCCACTCAAACATGCAATGTGTGCTTTAGAGCGTAATACCTGCTCTCTGCTTTCTTCATCCAAAAGTCGGGGCCAACACTTTCTGCTCTCACTTGAACAGCACTCTGAAATATTTTTATTTTCAACACTCACTAATGCCAACAATGCTAACAGCCACCACAGCAACATTAAGAATGAGTTAACTGGCCTCCTTGTAAAACCATTTGAATGACATGTGGTACCTAAGCCATGGTACGCACAGTGACTGCCACAGCCAGAACTCCAGTGCAAGCACCCGACAGATCCTTTGCCCGAGCACCACTCAGGGCAAGAAGCCATTACCAGAATGGAGGCGGGACCGTGCTGCACCCCGGAGACCGCCTCTCCCTGATCCTCGGCTCCCAGCAGAGAGGACGGAAAGGGACAGCATCGCATCAGTTCTCTTTGGTGGAAGCGAGTTGTGGGTACACCCAAGGGAAAATTAGGCCTTTCGGAGTCTAGTCATTAGAAGTAAAGAAACACACAGACATATTTGAGTGCATTATTTATTCCTGGGAAGCCTGGTAAGGAAATTCATTCATAAAGAGAAAGATATTTGTAATTCAAAACTCTGCCCTGGCAATCAGTACTGCGAGCGCCGCGTTTCACAGAAGGGCACATGCGGAATGGCTGACAGGTTACAGATCAAAATTATCAGTGAATTAACTCCTGTTAATCATTAGGCGTGTCCTGCCTGAGGACAAACCAACTAACTTTCTCTTCTTCACTGTCAAATTCCCCTGATGCACAGGGGAAAACCATGACACAATGATTCAAATATCACTAATGCTAGAAACGAAAACACTCAAATCAGAAAATAAATACAAGAGCTTTTATGCTGAATGAAATGTTGCAACAAAATCTCTCTTTACTGAATCCGTCCAGTGACCTAAAAGTTAAGTCTAAGTCACAACAGATTGCATAAGGCTCTGTTTTTACTCCACAACGAATTCTTCAGACTGAAATACATAGGAAGAGTTATGCTTCTGCAACCAATTTGAAATCTTGCTTTAGAGGGACACAGAAATGATTTTTCTCGTTGACCACAGCATTTTGTCTGGCACTAAATCATGAAATAAATCACAAAACCATGCTTAAGTTGACAAACACCTCCTGTCCCCCTATGATTTAGTTTGCTTATTTGGATTAATTAACTTGTCCACGGGGCACTCCGGGTCTCTGGGTGGCTGTGGGTTCCTCTGAGCTGGCTTTCTGGCCACTCCACTGCCCACCCACCCTGCTGCTGCCCTCAGCTCGTCCTCCATCAGCGTGTTGAAGACTCCCTTGTACCACCCTCTCCCTGGTCTGTAGCACCCATAATCTTTGTTTTCATCCCATAACACTCAGAGTCACACAGGTGACAGGTCTGGGATCACAGATTTGGAGAAGCTCTTCCCCCGAACACGGCAGTGGCTCAGCTCGCAACCCCTGCGGCAGATGGGGAGCCAGCACCCCTCACCACCTTGGGGTGCCCAAGGACGATGCTCTGCCACCCCACGACCCCAACCAGCAGCCTCAGACTCCTGCCAGGATGGAGAGGGTGTGTGTCTGTTTTTCAGATGGACACACACACAGAGGGTGTATTTCTGCCTTAAGGAATGGGGCTGTGAGTACTTTATTCTTGCTCTTAAGAAAGTTCAAAAACTATTCAGATGATCTCTGTCAAGACTTTCCTCTTTTTCTGTGGAGAACCTGGATACACAAAACTTACATAACTTAAAGGGTCCTGTGAGTTTTTGCAGTGTATTAATAAAATCCTCCCTGAATATCTTCAACAAATATGTGCTTTTATGCTTTCTCATCTCCATTTGTTAGAAGAAATCTCCTTTTTAAGATTATATTGATTTCTGTACTTCAACTGAAAAAATACAACTGACTCTGTCATACAAGCTTCTTGTATTTATCCTTTGAAAAAATGGTTTTAAGTTGCAGAAGAGGGAAGAAGAGAAGGGAAAGAAGAGTATGCAAAATCTACACCATTCAGATGAAAACAGAAGCTCTGTGCAAGGTTCCTCCTTTATCAAGTATTGCACTTTGGCTGTCTTGTGCCCCTATACAATAGGATAAATGGTAAGCAACAGCTTTGCTTTTATTTAAAGAAAAATTTTGAGGGATCATTGAGATTCACATGTATCCCTCTACCAGCATGAAAATGTAAATTTCTAAGCAGCGCTCACGGTGAAGCCAGATTTAGGACCGCTGTTCAATGTGCATTCAAGCCTCCCCTCTTTCATTCCAGAAAGGGAGAGGAGGGGAGGAGGGAGAACGAGGACCAGCAGTCAAAACCTGAAATTGCCCGGAGGAACAATTCGTTTCCACAGAACAAAAAACTGACTTAAAACAATCAATAAACTGTTCAGAAGATTTCCTTATCTGCTGTACTGCCGATGATCCCAGCAGCCGAGCAGGCTACCCCAGCCAGTCAGGGCTCAGCCCGGCACAGATTTTGACCCCACCAAAAGTCACACTTCTATTTCGCTCATCGGAGCTGTTCTCCGTGCAAGTTCAGCCTGCCCTGCAATGGTTTATTTCATTACCTCCTTTAACAACACAGAGAAACTGTGGAGCATGGACATTTGGCTTGGGAAATAAAACACTGAATTTTCTAAAAGGGGAAGGCAAGCCGTCATCCCCTCTTTCCTTCTAACTGGAAAATACACACAGACATGTATTTTATTTCGTTTATTTTATGATCACTTCAGTGAAACAGGCTGCTTCAAGCTGTGACAGTACAATATGTGGCCTGAAGGGCAAATACGTTTCAAAGCTGGGCTTTAAAAATTGGATTTTGACTGCTAATTAATATAGCACATTACAGAACCCTAATTACATTCTACTGTAAGACCTCTGTGGCAAGGACTGTTTCAGACATCTCTCTGAACAGTATTTAGCATGTCAGGACACAGCTTCTGCTGCTACTGAAGTAACGAACAACATATTAACATTATAAGCCTTAAACCCCTACAAATTACCTAGATCTGTAAGAATTTCACACTGTAACATTTTACATATATCTGAAAACTCCTGTCTCTGCTTGAACCAAAGTGATTCAAGTCTTATTGTAATGTAATTTGCTATGAGTTTCACATTTCTTGTGTCCAAGTAGCCTTTCGTCCAAAAAACAAGGAGCAGAGGTATGAAGTGACAACAACCAAGCAGGGTCCCACAACAGAAATCGAGATTGCCTCCCTACACCGGATTTTGCAAAGCACAGGAATTCAGGTTTCCATGCGCTAGGATGCACTACACATCCCTCCCTTCTGGGAAGATGTATTCCAAGTACCCTTGTACCATTCACCAAGTACATACGCACACACAGGCACACATGGATGTCACCAGAAGTTCTGGAAGCAAACGATATATGCTCTACAGCCACCGAGGACTATCTGTGTCTGGAAAGGGAGCCAGTCCTCCTCAGGCTGCCTCAAGCTCCTTCTGAAGCTGCACCTAGACGCAGCATGGCTCAGGTCCACAGGGCTCCAGAGCGTGGCTGTCAGGAGGGAGCTGCAGCTCTGCAGCCAGCAGACCTCCAAGCACTGCCCTCGGAGACCAGCCACCGACCCACATCACGGATTTCTTGTTTTTCGCAGTTCCAGCTCCATCCCAACACGGACCAGGGCACCAGGCGAGGAGACGCACTGCAGCCACAGCCCTCTCTGCATCACCCCGTTACTCAGTTAACCCCTGTGCAGAAGGAATGGGATCAACTGTGGTATTTTTCTTAGACACTTCTAGGGATTTATCAACTTTGCTTTAATGAGAAAAAAGTGATTTACTTAAAAACAAGGCACCTGCTGTTATAATGGATTATATGTCAATATCTCTTTAATGCAGCTTTAAAAGAGATCCATGAACTCCCACAGAGAAAACAGTCTATGTAATCATCGACAGAAGTTCAATCTGAGAAATTTTCTCACGGCAAGGAAGGGCTCTCCCCTTCATATCTAAAATTTTTTTATATATATATATATATACACACACATATATATATGTGTGCAGTAACATGCACATTTTTTGTCAGCGAGAAAATACCTGCACTACTTTGTTTTTAGCAACCTTTATCTGATCTAGCATTATGTTTTTGAAAAGCATCACAAAATTGGAAAAACGACAGTGAACAAACAACAAAACTCAACCCATTTTGAAATTAATCAAAACGTAAGAAGGTAGCATTGTCAAAAGCGTATCAGAGTTTAAAAACAAAAAACTCCACACCTCTGAACAGTCCTGTGTAAGTGAAAAAGAACAACCCAGGACCTATTAAATAACTTTAGGCAAACTTCAGCAGCCATTACCCATGGGAGAAGACTTAACCGTCATTGCCAGAGAAGAAAAGTCTGACGGTTGGGGGCTGCGACATGGTACTTATAATCCCCAGGCAGCGTGCTTGGCTGGGGCCCGCTGCAGGGCTAGAGCTGCAGTTTTCAACAAGAACCACAGGTCATGAAGTTTAATACACGTGAATTAACCAAGCAGAGATGCGCGCTTTGGATTTTTAAAGCAGACATTAAGAAATACCAAACCCACCCAGGTGTTAGCACATCCTGTCTCTTTTTATCGAATGTCGGGCATCCCGTACTGCATTTCAGCCGCGTAGCTCCTGTCTGCGCAGCTGAACTGCCA